GTAAAGATTTCTCACTCCCATTTAACTGCATAAACTAGAAACAAATATGTAAAATCATAAAAATCCGACCTCTAGTTATCATATATATATGTGTGTCAGAATTATATAAACAACAAAGCTACATTGTCTGCCTTACATTTGTATTTCAGGATTACTGATATACGCGTTCTACGGACTGAAACACAGCATAGAAGGTGTCAAAGACCAGACGACTAAAGTCGAAGAAGGCAGAAACGAACAAAAAACCTCTAACTAATTTGCTTGCACGATAAATCGCCAAAAAAATGTATTTACGTTTATCGATTATTAATCAGTATTCATATCATAATAGTGCGACTGTATTAACAGTATTTACAGCAAATGCAATTTACCGTGGTAAATTAAGAGTACCTAAATGTTTTAGTGAGTTTTTTTATTATTATTATTTTTTTGTAACACATAAAGTAAATATTAAAATACCATAAAAAAAACAAACTATTATTTTATTTAAGGTTAATATAATTTTATATCTTATATTATTATTTAATATGACGTTTAGTGGTTTTCACTCTAAGAAATTCTTAAGTTTAAATAAGAACGGATACTCAAAAATCTCAAGATATATTTCAAGAACAAATTAAACGTTTATGGTGCGTGGGACTAGAATGGATTAAAAATCCAGTGACACGTGGATGGAAAGGGTATATTTTTTAATTGAATTCCTAACGACCATTGACCATTGCCCATAGGACACAAATAATTGTACTGATGAGTGCTGACGAAATAATTATTTTTCCACACTTGTAACAGGCTTAGCACAAAAAAATACCATAACTATTTATGTGTAGACCATAAATTATTACTATTAACCATTTTTTATTAATTGTAAACAGTCTTTTATAAGAAATGAAAAACTTAAAATAATATCTAGGGTTAACATTTTTATTTTATTTGGTCTGTGTTATTATTTATTTAAATAATACTCAACAATGACAATACGTACACGTAATGGAATTGCCCATGTATTCGCCGTGTTACCCATATTAATATATTATAATATAATATTATGTGAACTTAATTTTTTAAGAATTATATTCGTACACATTAATTAAAATAATATAATTCTTTTGTATTTGAATTTACTCTTTCATAAAATATCTGTGGGCACAATTTCTAATTATTCCCCAAAAAACCACATAAAATAAGGTTTAATCACATTTCAATAATATTTTAATATTTATTTCTCTCTCTCTCTCCAATAAAATATTTATCTAATTTAATTTACCCTTCGTAATTTATTCCAATACAAATGTTTTCAATAAAATCCTCTTATTTCTTATCCTCCCGAAAAAATATGTATATGTATAGAGTTAGGTTGGAATTACAATATATTCCACTTCATTTTTAACAACATTATTTCCCTTTTAATTATGTATGTTCTGTTTATGTATTCAATTTATTTATTTCCCATGTAGGTACATTTATATATTACCTATTTAACTGTATTATTTCTTTTAGTAGATAACATATATATTTATGTACATTTTCACCGCCAGAGCCTTTTTATAAGCCAGTAGTTTCGGTGAAATCAATAACTCCCCAGAACTAATATTGTACAGATTGTAGTTATCTTCATAAGGTGCTTTATAACTACATTGTGAATTGTGATTAAAATCGCATGTGATTATATCCACCGCCTTTGACCTCACGTTCGTGAAGTTGGCCTTCCTAAGTTCTGCAATTTTAATAAAATGTATGCCATTATTTTCCAAGTTATTTGTAAGTATTTAATCTCTCAAATTCATGCTAATTACGTGATAATTATTGATGTAAACAAATTATAAATAACTTAATTTTTCATCTGGGTCGGACTGGTGAAATATTGCGTCAGCTTCCCTCAATAATTTTTTATCTTTAGGAGAAAACAAATATCATGCAAATTCTAATTTTGGCCTGAAAAATTTATGCTAATTACGTGCTAAATATTTGGGCAAAAAAAATTATGATTTTCAGAATGGGCCGGGCTAGTGCAATGTACGTATTCAACGACGATATGTTAGTTATTTAACATAAATTGGTTTATTGAATTTGTAAACTGTTGGAATAATTTTGGTGTAGATAATTTCAAAGAGTTTGCCCGGGTCTCTACTATATAGGCCTACTCTCTACATATCATCTTCTATCAATAGGTTACTATTGGGTACGTACAAGGTCTCTTATGGTCGCATTGTGGTATCCTGTATCATTGCGTTCTTGACGTTAAACTGCATATTTTCTAATATTATAATAAATATGTAGTATTATGCATAATCAAAAATGTATGTTATGATTTCAGTCTTAAGTATAATCGAGATTATAGTATATTATATATTAAGCATATATGTTTATTTAAAAGGTTCTTAAAAATGTCTAGTAACTGATCATGTTGACTTAGAGACAGCCTGTGGTAATAATAAGTTATTCGATAACACGAATTGACGAATCAGAGAGCATCGTTTCATCTGGTTACTCGAAAATGGCAGAAGTAGAATATTGCGCTTAAGGTGGTGGGCAAGCGAGGATATTAAAAAAGATTTAATGAAACCGACTGTCGATGGATTATGAGCTGCTATTATAAATTATAATTATTATACTTCAGAGTCATAAATATAGTTATCACTTATCACAATTGATATATAATTATACATAAATAATATTATAATTTGAAGTAGCTCACTATTTTGTTTTTCTATCTGGACCATGTGCTGCATAGACAATACGCATTGGCGCAAAATAATTTTTTGTGTTTTTCAGTTATCTTAGAGTAGAATAACCTATTACAAAATTGTTTGTAAAAAAATGTTGTGTTTTTTATTATTATTATTATTATTATTAGATTTTACATTCAACTTTAAAAATTCAATTTAATTTACAGGATATTAAAAATAAAAAATGATTTTCGTGAATCCGTTTAGTCTATTTTGCACTTGGCCATGAGCTAGAAAGAAAATATAAATAGCACACTGGTTCAATTTATAATATTTTGTGTGTATAATTAATAATAACGAGTATACATTATTATTATGATAACTAGAATCAGTCAAATTGACAAATTTCCAACTTTGCTGGAATTTGTTAAAAAAGGGTGAATTCTCAAACTTTTTTTAAACAAATCCACTGCAGTTATCTATTCAATGACGATAAGTACTCTCGAATTCATATACACATTATACGAGAGAACGGTTCCACCCACTTATACATTTTTTATTATTTAGTTGTACTCTTATAAATTATAATACATGTATACGATCGTATTCGGGTAGATAACTATAAGGTATATTTATTTCTCATTTACTGATATTTATTTAAAAATAGTGCATTAGGCGTATTAAGTATTACGAAAAAAAACTCCAAAAACACATGTAGCGTAGATATTTTATTAGTATAATAATCTATCATTCTGGTGCACCGTGCACTTTTATTCACACACACCGATACAAACTTATAAAATACTATTGTGAAATCAAATCATAGGTAATATGATTGTTATGGCAATATGTATCGCCTGTCTACATATTTAAATATTTTACAGTCACGAGATTAACTAGTCGAGTACCTACGTCTTAATGGCCAAACGGGTGTGGAGCTTTCAATATATTGTTTGTATATTCAGTGGTGTTTGAAAATATCTTACAGCCCTGAGTGTAATTCATTAAGAAGAAAAATGATTTTTTACTGTATCACTATTTGTTTTAAAATTTTATACCATAAATGGTATAGGGTCACATTTTTTATTGTGATCGAATCTGCATTAGGTGGCCCTATATCATGTGAGCAGAAAAAGTTGTACCTTAGACTTATTCCTAACGTATTCCTAACGTCCCTAACTATCGATTGAGACTTGAATAATGTTGGGTTTTATTGGTGAATTGACCATAAATGTTACCAAACCCTAACCCTGGGTCTAAAGTAACTAAGGTTTACTGTTTCAATGAAGGTGTTCCGTATAAACATAATGTAAGCATATCATTACATTATTCTTTTATAAAAACGAAAACAGCAATGTATTGGTACATATATAAATATGTTATTGTAAAATTTACCTAATAACTGATTAACAAATCGTTCGGTTTGTTGTTTACAGTAATATGAAGTCGATTAAAAAAAAAAAATGTTTAAGTTTTCTGGTCTAATAAATAACAATTTATTAAGTATTTGAAGATAATTCTCTATTAGAGCTCACTTATCATAATGGTATCAGTATATATTAATTCCTGTATTGTCGATATTGAGCTTTATTATTGATTATCAGTTATTACTGCCTGTCGATCGACGAACTGTGTAAAAGTGAAGTGCCACCGTATAAACACAGATAAATTGTTTTTTAATTTTCTCACTGACTTTAATATTGTTTAAGGTAGGTTTATTCAGGGTATCATATTGTCTTACCACTAACTTCGATCTAAAGCCTTACGCATGCCTCATAACGCACATTGACGTTATAAGGAGTTCACTTTGAACAGATTCCACTTAATTCAACATGAGAAACTCGCTGTCGGTAAGTTCCTTATTTGTTTAACGTGTAGGACGTAGGTACACTATGTAGGTATAGACATAAAATATTATTATAATAGAATATTACACTAGTTGTTTACGAATTGTGTTTTTATCAAGAAATATATTAAATGTATGTGGTATTGTGGTCATAATAATATTATAACGCAATTAAAAAAAATATATATATTAGCTGTGGGTTTAGTAGGTAATAACTTGAGAATGTATGAATACAAATTTAACAAAAGTACATTTTTTTAAGTTATAGCTCCTAAATTATAGACATTTTTTATTCATTATTTTTTTTTTTGATTATTAGTATTAAAGGCTTCAACAGCTAGGTCATTAGCCTGTGGATGTGGTTACATTATCATTGATTAGAGAATATACAAATAAGAAAATTAATAACTAAATAACAGAATTCTAAATTCTAAATTAATCTTTGTATTAAATTTTTGTGTCAATGCCGATGGATTTGAAGAAGGTATGTATCAGGTGCGTGTTGTGTTCTCCTAGAGCTTCATCCATCGTTGATGGTTTGTTGAGGATGTTTCTTGCGTTGACGTATAGCGGGCAGTCTAAGACTATATGTTTGATTGAAAGCGGTTCGTTACATTGACTACAGAGAGGTTGTTCTTCATGTTTTATGATGTGAATGTGGGTGAGATTGGTATTCATTATTATAAATGTAGTTTGTGTGAATTTAGAATCACTGCTTCACACTACAGCACAGTTGAAACAAAAATTAGGTACTTCTGTCCACCGCAAGTATAAATCATAATGAATGATCATGAAAATATAATTGTGAATCTGTTGCTCCTTTATTCTGTATAGAAACTTTTTTGTTGTTATTAAGACAAAAAATCTTTTTAAAACTGTACTGAATTATTTTTTATAATTGATTAATTTTCCTCATCGAGTGTTGTTTACTTTTTGACACAGAACCGTACTCTATATCAAACTTTATGCAGGAAGAAAACATTCACTGCCGAAGTTGAACCGGGAAAAGAAAAGTTGAAACGAGTGTTGAATTTATTCGACTTGACTGCCCTGGGAATTGGTTCCACATTAGGATGTGGCGTATATGTGTTAGCCGGGACGGTCGCCAAATCTATCGCAGGACCTGCAGTGGTATTGTCTTTCATCGTAGCGGCTATTGTCTCGTCGTTTTCAGGTATATCATACTCAAGTCAATACTATATCAGTACCTACCAATCTATCTAGTATACTTATGATGATCATCTACTCCACAATATTATAATATAAAACAAGTTTAAAGTGTTCGTCCACCTCCTTGGGTATTGTAGGTCTATACTCTATAGCATAACTGCAGCAATAATGGCTTTACAGTTTAAAGTCACGTGTGACGAGTTGCAGTGGACCACAAATTTCTACAAGTACAACTAAAAGGTTAAATTCTGCAAGCACTTAAATCCTTTTATCTAGACTTAAAATGCTTAAGATAAGTCATTGACCAATATTCCGTATTTATATGTATCGATATTTTTGAGGATGTCAGCTCACTATTTGTTTTCTTTGTCTGACCCACAACATAGCAAATTTACGTTTAGCAGAATTCACTCTGTTTTACTACTTTTAATATTAGATTGAATTCACCTATTATCAAACATTAAGTGAAGAACATTACCTGTAACCCTAAGTTGAATATTTGATGATATTTTAATTGTGATGTAATAAGCTATGTAAATTCTTAATATTTAAAAGTGCTTATAAATTGTATAACAATTAAAATAAAGTAAAAAAAAACAAAGTATGGATACATGTAATGTTCTTAGCTTAAAGTTTGATAATAGGTGATATCACGATAATATTAAAAGTAACAACACGACAACGATTGTTCACTTTTGAAAGAATCATTCTATAGCTGTATTCTACAATATTGTGCATGGTATTATGTTATAATCGATTTTTTTTAATTTCTATTTGTTTTAGTAAAATATATTGTTGTTTATTCACGGTTCTAATAATAATTCACCAAGGATCAATTTGTTTTGATTTTTAGGAGTTTGTTACGCTGAATTCGCTGGTCGTGTACCCAAAGCCGGATCTGCTTATATTTACAGTTACGTGACCGTTGGAGAATTTATTGCATTTTTCATTGGATGGACTTTGTACATTGAACACACTATTGGTGAGTTGTTGAATAAGAAAATTATCAATTCTAATGACATATTTCAAAATTAATAAAATTACTTCTGTAATGATATTTATGGTTTTATAGGTACAGCTTCCGTCGCCAAAGCAATGACCAATTATTTAGATGCTTTACTCGGAGATCCTCAAAAGAGATATTTTAAAAAACATTTACCAATGCATGTGGATTTTTTGGGCGAATATCCAGATTTTGCATCTTTCTTATTCGTCATGTTTATTGCTTGTAATAATAAATTGTACTCATATAATATTATATTTTCAAGTCCACTTTCTTTTCATGAAACTTAATGTTGTCGTTTAGTATTTAATTAATTTGTTCAGTAAGACAATTGGTTGAATACGTAAATAACAATAACTATTTGAATATTTCTTAAAATGGGTAACTCAAATAGATTATTATATTTTAAAGAATATATTAAGATAAATCTTGAAATTAAGAATTATAATTGTTTATGAAAAACAATAAGTAAAATTAATTAATGAAATCTAATTTTATGGTAGTTTCATATAGTATTTAAAAATTATTGTATACTAATTGCAGTAAATAATAATATGTATGTTATTTTTTAGTAATTGTGGCTTGGGGTGTCAAGAAATCTTCAAGCCTCAATAAAGCGTTTACCTTGTTGAACTTGTTGACATTGGGTACAGTAGTCGCCAGTGGCTTTTTTTTAGGTACGTAAACAAACATAAAATATTTCTGGACTGTCATTGCAATATCACGCAATTAAAATTACACATAACATCATATCTAATTAAATTTTTTCAGTTTAATAAAAGATATGTATAGATACCTCTAATTTTCATAATATTTTAATTTAATTTATACTTATTATGATTTATGATGTTTGCAGAAAAATAATGAAAATATGATGTGAAGTTTAAAAAAAATGTTGTGGATTTAGAACTTATCTTTGATATTTATTTATTTATGTTAATACTATTTGTAGATTCTATGATTATGCTACAACAATGCAATAAAGACAATAAAAATTTACTGGGCAATATTGTTTTTATTTTTTCGATATCACAAATACAAGAAAAGTTCTTAGTGTTTAAAAATCAGTTATTTTAAACTTCAATACATTTTCTTGTGTTTGTGATATCAAAAATATAAAAACGATGTTGCAAAAGTAAATGTTTTCTTGTTTATAGTGTGAAATTTGGTTGCTTAGATTGAACTACAGCTAGAGTGGTTCTACTTCACGCAAAAGAGTTTTTGCTATGTTGTACATTTGTAAGACGGAGACCACACATGCAGGCGTGGCGTCCTCTGAGTACTATGAAATAAATCATATCATACTAAATTAATATATTTATATTATATAATTTTCAAACTATTTATAACATAGTAATTGTTTTCCATCGATCGATCTGATATTTATTGTCACGTTGTATGGTATACTAATTATTAATTACTATGTCTTCTCTTAACATTTTCAAAAATTGCTTTAGCTTGTATCACAGTCCACAAATTATAGTTGTGACTGTAAATCAGACAAGTACCTATTTCACTGATTTCAGGTAAACTGTCCAATTGGTTCATTCCAAAAAGTGAGATTCCATCAGGAGTGGATGGCGGCAACGGAGGGTTTTCACCATTCGGTTGGAACGGAATAATCGCAGGCGCCGCAAGATGCTTTTACGGGTTTATTGGATTCGACTCCATCGCTACTACCGGTATGGTTTGATTATATTTTTTCAAACAATAATTTCAGAAGGGATGAAAAGTATTCTCAGCAAATAAGACTAGGTACATCAGTCCGTATGATACATAAATTAAACCAGGGGTCTCCAAACTATTTTTTTCAAGGGATTATAAAATATCGAAAGCTCTTAGTGGGCAAAAAGGTGACCGATCAAAATATCATTAGAAAAATATCTTATGAATACATATAATTTTCAATTTTTAATTTTATAGAAATATATTATATACTTATGAGTATTTAAAAAAAATTGTTATTTTAATGTACTTAAATAAACTTAGTTATATAATAATGATACTATCTTGTTTAAAACCATAATTGTTGAGCTATAATAGTTTCACGCTAGCAGCTAATAATAATAAAAAAAAAATAATAATAATAATGATACGGATGATAATTGACACGTGTGCTTGATACCGATGTTAGATATTAGTATATTACACTTCATATTTTTATATTATTTACTGTCCTTCAGGTGGCCGGTGAAAACATGACACGTGGGCCTTAGTTTGGATACCTCTGTATTAAACTATACAAACTATATACACACACTCACCAACGCAAACATAATAATATCTGAGATCTCGATATAGTGCACCGGCCAAGTTCGAGACATACCATACTATCATCGTACCTTCACACGAACAGCATTAGCCTATTTTTAACCTTAATATCTCTGCTTTCTTTTAATTTCAAAAAAAGTAACCAGTGGTTGATTGAAATCTACTAGTGTTGACAGCGCTAAAGAGACAAAATCAGAAACTATCCAAGTGATAAGCAATAGATAACATTAAAATAGAAAAAAAAGAGATTTGCTGTACAAATTAATGTATTTGTGTATTAAGGTTATTGGCTAAAGTAAAAGTATACTTGGCTACAATGTAGGTCTCACTACTTTGATATGAAGAGTTTTTTGGATTTGAGACTTGGGAATTTTTTCACTGTTAGGTTTTTGTTGGATTATGTTTAGATGGTTATAATACAATATTGACGCAGTTACAATACCTTGACACTCCTAACTCTTAAGTCAGAATTGTCCACAAAAAATTCTGACTTAGAGGTGCCAGGGTAACATTTGTTCATTATAGTTATCATTCAACAAACTTATATAGATTGTACTTGTAGGTGAAGAGACCAAAAATCCGAAAAGAACCATTCCTCTAGCGATCATATTATCGTTGTTTTGCGTCACGTTGGCATATTCTAGCGTAGCGTCGGTGTTAACTCTGATGTGGCCGTATTACGATCAAGTATAATATTTTAACATTATTATGGTCTAAACCAGGGGTCTACAAACCATTTTATGCAGGTAGCCACGTATTATTTTTTTAATAAACTTGCGCGTCGTATTCGTAGTAAAAATATGTATACAAAAATTCAGTTTTATTATTACAATTTTTATGATTACATTTTAAATTTCAAATTACAAATTAATATTTAATTAATTTATTTATCTTATCGCATATTATAAATAGCAATTACTTAGCCGTTATAATTTAATCTAATTAGAAAATATATATGCTAAATTTCAAATGTGATCGCGGGCCGCATATTATGACAGGGCGGGCCACGGGTTGAAGACCTTTGGTCTAAACTCTAAGTTAGATGCGGTCGGCGACCTTAATCCTATTTTGTGTGGCTGGCGTAATAAATTTATAATATTTGTATAAAAATAAATAACACAACCTATAACGAAAACGTTGTATTATGTTCGTTGTCATTGTAGATGTAAAACCAGTGCCTGTTAAATACTTAAATCGCTCCCTTTACTGAAACGCATAATATTGAGCAGTGCACAGCAGTGGTTTGCAAACCACAGTATGCGTATCATTGTTGGCTATTTTATGGTGATACGTGGAAAAGAAGTGTGGTGGAAAATTAATAAATCAATATTTTTACTTATGATTATAAATTATAATGGATATAATATTATTTTATGTTATTTGTAAATAGGTATTAAATATACTGTTAAATTTACCTGAATAATAGTTTTTAAACATTATTATTAATATTAATTTTGAATGGTTTTATTTTTAGTCATTAGTGATACATGAGCGATCCATAATACATAATATGAATTTTACGCGAAAAAAGAATGTTTGAGAAACTTTGTTCTACAATTTTTATTGTGAAGATTTAAGACTACATACTTTTATAGGCCCCTGATAAAATGTGTATGCGTCTTTTAGCCGTTGATATAAAAAAAGGTTTCTGACCCCTGAGTCTCCTAACAAAACCAAGATACCTAGGGTGTATTAATTTATGACATTGTCTCACAGGACCCGGACGCACCTCTGCCGGTCATTTACGAGAACATGGGAATGCCAATCATCAAATATATGGTTACTTGCGGCGCGGTATTCGCTCTTATGACGACGTAATAATATTAACCTTTGTTTTTTTTGGTTGTATTATGGTATTTATTAGTTTTTCGTGCCAATTTTTTTAATGCTTTATTTTTATAATTTCATCGCACATGAAGCTTATTAGGATGTTTATTTCCTATACCGAGAATCTTATATGCCATGTCCAGCGACGGTCTTTTGTTCAAGTGCTTATCGATGATCAACGAAAAAACAAAGACTCCTGTTTTGGCAACAATAATTAGTGGAATCGGCACTGGTAAAGAGTTAAACGCGCAGACTGCGATGTAATAATCTATGAATTTATTTTGTTAAAATGGATTTTCCAGGCTTGCTGTCATCTATGTTCAATCTTGAACAACTCGTCGAGATGACGTCAATTGGCACTCTCATTTCGTATCTGATAGTGTGCGTCTGCATTTTGATACTCAGGTGTGTGTAGTATAATAATCCATAGAATTCATCTGTAAGGGTTCGATATTAAAAACTTTTGATCAAATTTATTACATCCCGATAAATTTTCGACCGGCTTCTGAAAGTATATTTAGTATTTACCTTAATGAGTATCAACGAAGTCGTAGACGGAAGCGTTTTTTATTTGCATTATATTATATGTATGAATAAATAAGTATAATAATATATATGTTTATAGAAATGTGTACTACAATTAATAATATATTCTTCAGGGTCGTGTTCTATTTCGTTTAATTACACTTCACATACTTTGTTTGCCGTTCAGGTATAAAAACAACAATACAGTCAGTCAGGACTTGGACAACTCCGAAGTTCATATAATCTACAAGTGGTGGAATGCATCGAACACAGGAGTGACCAACGCGGATTCCCAATACGTGTCGAGAGTACTGATACTCACATACAGTACGTTATTTTGAAGCCAATTATTCGTTTTATATAATAATGATATGCATGGTCTCTACGAAATAGCATTATAATTACATATAATATTCTGTTTCTTTATCTTGTATTATCATTTATCATAGCATTTGCTGCGTTTGTGTTTTGCGTTTGTATGTCAAACGTTGATTATTGCGAAGGAACTTTGCAGTTATTGCTGACTATCGTAATCGGGATTTCGATCGCAATCTTGTTGATTACCCTGTTAATGTTATGTAAACTTCCACAAGCTGTCGAGAACCTGTCATTTAGGGTAAGATATAATATAAAATATTATGTCCCATATGTATGCTGATCACATAGTATTTATACGATCTAAATGCGTATTATACGGATCCATTTAATATAAGGCACTAATTATTTAAGAAAACTTTAAGGTTTATGAAAAGATGTCTTTTACATAATTGTAGGTTTTTACAAAACAACATTTTTAGAAGATAAAGAAATAAGTTTTACTATTTTTTATTGTTATATTTTTCAAGTTTTTTACTCTTTTGAATGATAACAATTCTTTTTAATTTTATGTTCCAAAACAGATAACTATTCATAGTATTTTAACCTATAAAAATCAAAATTTGATCAAGTACTAGTTGTAACTTATAAGTAGACTAACATTTTGTAGGAACCTTTGTACCACTTCTCTTCGCTCATCCAAACTTGTATACTTAAATATAAGTTATAATTCACACACTAACTACTCGTCCAACATTCGGTTTTATGTAATGAAGCACACCAAAAAAATATTCTAATTTAGAATGAGAAACTCAAAATGTGTTTTCGTTAAAAAAATCAAATACATATTTCAAAAAATGATAATGATAAAAAATAGCATACAATTATTTTCAAAAACAGTTATAGTTTTCGTAATAATGAGTGTCCTACCTTAAATGAATCACCGGTGCCCGTGAATGTCCATCGAGATAGTCGAGATGACAGTATAACGAGAATTATATATTGTTTCCGTCCATCTAACGGCCAAAATATACAGATATATGTACATAACTACCGTGTGTCTTAATATCTCCACCCTCAGGCTAAAACAAAGGGTTAAATAAGTGTCTAATCAAAATAAGCTAACTCCATCTATGGTTGTATACAACGGTATAATAATAATAATATGTTAATTTCTATGTTTTGACTATAACTATTATTCTGTAATTAATTAGTAAAATGCTGAAAAATATAGATTGCCTGCACTATGTTTCTTTTTTCAATTTGATAACAAGCCACTTCAGTCTGATCTTAGCTCAAACTCACGACTATTGTAATGGAAATAAGGAATAACGTTTTTTTTCTTAAGTTCCAAATAATATTGTACCTATATTATAGTTGAACGTACTCAATACTGTATGTTAGTAGTTAGTACTAAGTGTTAGTAACACATAGATCGTGACCAAAAATGATTGACTAAAATATTATTTTTTCAGAAAAAGTTAATAGGTAGCTTATATAAGCATTCACATACATAATATATATGGTAGCGTGTTATTTTAATTTATAATGATTTTTAATTTTTAAAAATATTTGTTTAGGTACCTTTTGTTCCTCTAGTACCATGTTTGAGTATAATATTTAATTTGTACCTAATGATGGAGCTGAATATCAAAACGTGGATGAGATTTGGTATAGGGATTGTAGTAGGTATGTATAGCATGATGGTGTGAATATGGTATGGTATATAGTTTATATGGTTCATATTTTAATTTACTAGACACGACAACACCGATGGAATAAATTTAACCATGTATAACAAAATATAGAGACATCTCATAACGATTTTAATTATGCATGATCATTACAAACATACCTCTTTATCGTAATGTTCCATATTATACATGATATAATATATATTTATGCTTTGATAGATCATCATTTCACTGAGTGATAAAATAAGGTCAATCGATGCATATCTGATCGTTACATTTTTATAATTTTAGATACAAAAATTTAAAAATGATTGTACGTTTGTTAATAGGTTCCTTCTAACCATAACTTTGGTTGGGGCTAACATTTATTTTTGTTTTGGTTAGGTGCCGCCTAATATAAAATAAAAGTGTAAATATGTATATTTAATATTTAATATACATAAAACAAAAAATTAATTGTTTAATTTCACTGTGTGCGAGCATAAAAATTATTTACAGGCAATAAAACATTTTTTGGGTCAGGTAGTTACCTATAATATAATATTTGTCAGTACAATATATATTTTTCATAGAGACAATACATTTATTTGATAAATAATTAATTAATTAATATTTTAATGGACGAGCATAATTGCATGATACATAAAGTTCAAACAATGGATTATTATTTATTACATTAGGTTATTTTAATGTTATTACTTATTAATGTAACATACATTTAACATTTATGAAAATGACACAATAATTTTATTCATTACACACAAAACTACGGAATGATGGCTTACCATATGGCCAATGATTAACAACAGGGTGATATTGGTCAAATATTTACATTCGCTAAATGGAACACGGAAAAGTTTAAAAAAAATGATTGATAATTTAATACGTGGTTATGGATTATACGTGTTAGCTTGTACATTGTACTGTTGTAGGTTTATAAATTATAACAATTTATATATATTTTTTTTTATTGAGCTAAAGCTTCAACATCTAAGGTCGTTGGCCTGGGTTATTTAGTAGGTTTATTACTGTGAGGGAGGGTTGGCTATACCACGTATATGTTGAGAAAATTTGTCATAAAGGCGCCGGGTAGTCAATGGTCACCCATCTGAGAACTAGTGTGCCGGCTGACGCTCAAGGTTAGGTTAATCATTTTAATAAATTATATACTATAAAACAAATTATTGAAAAAATAATAATGTAATATTAACGGAGGAATATCGAAAAATAAATGAATATTGAAATCAGCCAATGATCATAGAGGCCCAGATGACTAACAAGGCTTATTTCTAATAATAATGATCAAGAAAATATTTCAATAATTTATTGAATCTATTTTGATGAAGTTTATTTTAATTTTTTGATTTTACAGGATTATTGATTTATGCGTTCTACGGGGTTCACAATAGTTTGGAAGGTTCCAAACAACGAGCAATGAAAGATAAAGAACGCAAACAAGAAACAAAAATCTTTTACTAATGCGTTGCACGGCAAAATACATGCAATAAAATATTATTTTCATTTGTAATTATAATAACTGATGATTTCGTATTATAATTTATTTATAATTTACAACCATTTACAGTATTAAATCTGAAAATTGTGTGGCAATTTTTTTTTTATGAATTACTATAATTACAAAACTATGTTAAAACATTGTGTTGTTGAGATAACTATTATTATTTTCTCCCACGGCTGTTTTGTAATACTTTATTCCATAATTCAAATATGCCTATTATTATAATTATTTACCGATAACAGATTCATATTATTTTATTGCCAAGATATAACAGTGTCTCATAGTTTTATATCCGATGACTTTCTCGAAGTTTTTTTTTATGATTTATTTATATTGTATACCTATTATTATTCCTTTCAAATCAATTTATTCAAAACGGATGCTCTCTTCTAATATCATATCGAAATAATATCGAAATAATATCCAATATATTATGTTATATTTAACAATGGATCTTTTCATGTAAATAAATTTAGAATGATTAGTTTTTCATAGTGTCCAATTTCTGTATCTGGTTTATTTATTTATCTTCGTTGAATAAGACAACTACAGATTTTTACATAAATATATGGAAAATTTGTAAGAAAACACAATAACATCTTGGTCTTGTATCAATTCATTTGTCAGTTGTTAGTTTGTCATTGATTATATATTATGTTTCTAGTACAGGAGTGGTAATCCTTTTTCGGGTCACCTATTCTCACGTGAGTCAAAGTATTGTAATTTTAATTTTAATAAAACTTCAAGTGCATATTTATAAAAATAATTTTTTGGGGTTGTGGAATGGTGAGATTTGCTAAAAATGTGCAACCTATAAAGTATTTAAAAGGACGTAACACTGACATTTGTTGTCTCCGTCTTACAAGTGCATAACATGGCAAATTTACGCTCAGCAGATTACGTGTAGCTTTGTTAAGTAAATTGAATCAACCTAAAATGAAACAGGATGATAAGAATAGTATTTGTGTTTGTATATTGGTTTTTTGAGATAGTCCATTATTGAAGTGAGTTATGATCATTTTTAATTTACGCTATACTATATACGCATAACTTGCTAAAAAACTGAACTATCGTATAAAACCAACATACAAACACAGATAATTTTCTTACCACCAAGTGTCATAATAAGTTGATTCGCTCTAATTTTTAAACTAACAAAGCTATACGTGGTCAGCTGCTGAGCTTAAATTTGCTATGTTACGCATTTATTGAACGGAGACAACAAATGCGAAAGTTACATCCTACTAACAAAAAAACATATATTTTTTCATAGATATTCCTTGCAGAGAAAAAATGAAATAGCGTGCAACGTTTTTTTTTAATTACTGTTGTTTAAAAATCCGAATGGATAAAATATAAATTCATTAATATCAACGTAATCGTAGACGGACGCGTTTTTTCATTTTTTTTGCATGAGATGTATTATTTAATAAAAAAGTCTACAACATGTTTATAGAAACTTGTACTACAATGAATTATTATTATAAGCAGTTTACGATTGTGTTCGATTTCGTTTTAGATCCTAAGCTGAGGCATGAATGTATATTGATTGTACAATGATGTGTGTTTTTTATTATTTTTTGTATCTATGTACACGATACTCGATAAGTAGTCCAAAAAATGATGCGATTTTCGAGTATATGTTTTTGTGGGAAAGTATTTCTTTTTTTATATAAGCATTTTAAGTTCAAATTTTGACAAAATGTATCAAATTAAAAACGTATAAATTATCTTTTAGTTAAAAATTTAGAAAATGTTTATTTTTTATAGCTAAAGATTGAAAATTTAAAACAAAGTTGAACTTACGTAGATTATTCTGTAAGAAAATATAAAAAAAAAATATACAAACACAGTTTTTTTTACAGTTATTTTGTGTTCAAATTGCTACGAAATCACATATTAAATAATCAAGAATAAGTTATTTTGTTGTAATTTAAAAATATTATTTATGCGTGTTTGAAACTTTTAGAGTAGATTATTATATTTTATACCCACAATGAATTTTCAAGAGTAATTTTTTTTAGCAAAAATGAATTTAAACTACTGTAGTACTGATGCCTATAGTAAAATAAATTACCTTCTTTAATTGTATTCATATCATAAAATATACCTACTAAGTAATAATCCATTACAGTGACTTTCTAGACACTAAATGTACAGCAGAGAGTTACCCACTTCCTTGATTTTTTATAATATTGTTACTTATCTCTTTTTTAATTGGACCTGAACTTATCCACCTATTATATTATGTATGCAATATGATTTTTATTCCCGTTCATGAATGGTTCATTTTTAATCTCAAGTGTGCATTTTATTAGTTTTAATAGAACACTAGTAGCGCTATAACTTTAACTTTATCCGTTAATGTACTTCTCAGTTTTGATTTGATCGCATCCTCTTGGAAAGCAAACTTTAAAAATACAAAATATATCTGGAAGTGAGTTCCAAACATTAAACATTTTACCGAGTAACTATATATTATTTTCAACTACCTATTAAACATTTTTTTCATTTGTTATTTTTTTTAATGTAAGATTTGACTATGAAATTTAAAAAAATATTTTTCTTTTCATTTGAATTTGGTGAACGTGACAACGTGACATCGTTACCTTCGACCCGAGTGTCGTATGTTAGACACCTATGTTTTAGATCATCAAAACCATAATTGTTCTATTCCCGAAGGTGTATTTGTCCTGTGCTTGTATGCCCATCTCCCGGTAGTTCCGCATGAAACATATTTTTTTATATTTACCTAGCTATTCAATACCAATTATATATTAGTTACAAATATAAACTATAATTATATCATATTATAGTGAGTGATTTTTTTTCTTTTTGAACCACCACATTAGGGGCGAATACACTATTATTATTGCTTTATCTGAGTCATTAGTACTCATTAGTATTGCATTCCCTCCATCTTTAGTATTGCATCCCTTCCATCTTAAGCATTGCATACCCTTCCGAATTTCTTCTTGCCCTACAATGGTTAACTAGTATTGACTAAGTTCACTATAGTTGTTATTTACATAAAAATGTGTAAATTGATTAACGCATCATAAAAATGAAAAATGTATGACTTGTGTGTATTAATCGTTTTACACTATACCACAACGACCACTTATTTGTACTAGCGGTACTTCACTAGATCAATCTAAAAGAAATATTTTATAATTATTTGCAACGAACACCTATGGACTTGTCCTTGATAATAATACACATTACCCGCCGTTAATTTCTAATTAATTATAAAATATTTTATTTAAAATGCAATCAACCATTTAATATCATACACCTGTATATAGGTGCTTATACTAATGGTGTTTGGATATTATTTATCCAAACAAACAAAAATAATATCGTCGTTTAATAAAATATTAGTTAAATTGTGACGCACTATATTATACAATTAACAATAATGTATGATAAATTACGGATAGAACCGATAACGGAGGAAAATAAAGAGCGAACAGCGAATAAAATATTGTATAGGTACTGATTGCTTTTGAATAAAATCAAAAAATTATGAAATGCATATAATTTTTAAGCAAGAATATATTCTTAAATCTTAAGTACACTATGAAAGAATTAAAATCTAAACTCTATTTCATAGTTTATGTAAGTATAATTTTTATAAATTTAGTGAAAATATGAAATAATTAAAAAACAAATGATGATATTAAAATATTGTATTCAATATAATATTATAATATCAATAAGTCAATTTCAAAACCTATTTTCAAATTATCACAACAACTGATTTCACATTTCGGAACTGAAAGGTTTAATTTATAAATAGTTAATTATTTATTTATGAAGTTTTGTCATTTTTGGAAATGGCAGAGGCAGTAAAATTATGATCCTTTTTAACTTCCGTAGTCAGAGTAATGGGTGGTTACAAATCTCATATAAACCGTAAAAACATGGAAAATATCTGTTTTTTGTAAATAATATTACTGACTTCATATCAATATGGAGATTCAATTCAAAATTAATTTGTTATTCAAACCGTGAAAATATTTAAAAAAATCTTCGAGAATAAAAAAAGTTGGAAATTCTCTGACTTAGCTCTAATTATTGATTCTTTCGCAGAGTCTCGAGTGTCAGTATTTGGTATTTTAATTTTTAACTGCTATATATGTATAAATTATAAAATTATAATATAATACTTACACTCGAAGTACGTCAGCCAATAAGTCAGAAAAGGTAATAGTTTTGGAACGCCAGCAGTTTTCGTTTAATTGTAATTCCTTTGTTTCTAATAATATATATTTTTTGATTGATTTACGGCTAATGTAATCGGCAATAATTCACTCAATTTCACTGAGAACAGACAAAATGAAATAATAAAAATAAAATATTGAAAATCATAGTGCTGACTTATCTAACGGAAAAATGCGTACAAGTGATGTAATTTTTTGTCAAATTTGTCCATTCGTATACACCAATAAACATAAATATTTCGTAAGCATATTATAACAGATCGATCGCATATAATAATAATTAAAGTATTAACATCTCAACTCTCAAGAGCTCAATACAATAAATACGTTACTATAATGTACTCGTTTATCGTCAATTAATTCACAGGTTTAGTATTTATCAATTAAATGTGTTTATAATTTTTTACAATGTTTTATTCATTGTTAAATAATACAAAATCATTTCTTACATTCATTAAACTTACTAAATGTTTATCGTAAAAATCATTTAAAGTAGGTAGGTATACGTGTATAATATATTTATTCCATTAATTACTATATACTATATATAATTAATATACTTAATCCATATATATATATATGGATTAAGTATACATTTATTCATTTATGTCAATATGAAACTTACCTGTTAATTGTTTCGTTAACGTGATCTTTATAGTATATAACTAATAAGGACTGTTAAAAAAATACTGTTCATCCTAATTTAAAAAATGTTGTTCCTTTTTATAAAATTTTATTTTTGTGGCATTAGCAATAGTGACTTTTTTTAAACTACGGACACTCTTTTTTGGGGGTACCTACAGTTGAAAAATAATTTTATCCAGCATTACAGTAAACAGATACCTAGTAATATTATTGGTAGACAAGGTGATTAATTTAAATTTTGGTCTAGCGAAGATCAATGAGGTAAGTCACTCAAATCTTTTTTTAAACGATGATATTTTATGTTATCCACTTATTGGTGTATGATGCCACAATGGTGAATATTATTACAGACTGTCTATTGTGTTCTATGTTATTTTTTTTAACTAGTGTCTTAGGTAGATTAACGTTTCTAACTTAAATTATGCAAATAATGATAAATGCACACTATAATTTTAATTTATTACAAACCTATGTATTATAATAATAAGTCATTTGACATATTTAGTAATATATGTAAGATGTGACTCACAGCTACAAAGGTTTCGGTTATTTTACAGATGTTATGCTGCAGTTATTGAAAAAAATCATTAAACGTCATAAAAAAATTTTTTTTACCCCACTTTTGGTTGTTTTTTTTATGTTTTCGAGGACAATATAATTAAATAATTATGACCCAAGAATAGTCTTGTTCAATCCACTTGTCCCACATATACCAGAAAAATATAGGTATAATATGAATAATACTATTAAGTCAGCGGAAAAATGCATTTTAGACACATTTTATATTGGCTAATTGAAAGCAACTGAGGATTACGAAAATCTGAAGTGCCCCTGTCTGAGTGGAAGATTATCGATTTATTTTACAACTGTTGCTAAAAAAACTGATACCATACAGTACATCATTGTGATCGTTGGCATATTAACGAAAAATTTACCTAGTATTTATAGTGACAACGTCTATGATCGTCGACGTTACCATATTTGGCAGTCAAAGTACTATAATATATAAAAAATATATTAAACAAACATGATTCACTCGTGGTCGGTAAGTACTCGTTTTGGGTCAATATAATAATATTATAGTATAAATATTTAAAAATGTATGACAACGTATTTGAGATTTAAAAAAAATTATTCTGAAAAGTTCTCAGATTATCCTTAGTTGGAAGAGACTTGCATAACAAAAATTATTAATACCCTATTGAACCATATACTTAATATTTATTTAATAATAATTTGAAGACTTTGAGGCCAAGATAAACAGAAGCATAATATAATAAAAACTTAAGCCACAGGTGGAGTTACGGGTTTTCATAGGCGATGAGTCTCGTCGTCCGGGCTCGTTTTATAAATAATTGTTTGAGGCGAATAACAAAACAAATATTTTTAAGGATCTCTTAGATTGGAATCTTTAAGTTGAGAAGTGTAAGAAGGAGAGGTAAATATTATTATTGGTAACTACGAGTATTACTTATATGTATGTTAGTTATTTTTAATTATTTAAATATTGAATTACAACGTCTTTGTATTCACCTAAAGATTTTTTAGAGTGAATAATCCATTGGGTTTGTACACTTTTTATTTAGTAGTCTTTTTTACGTTGTCAGAGCTAGCCTTATAACAATTTTTACAGGCGAGCCCTATGGAATATAATTTTTTATAAAGCAAGGACCAAAATTTCATACAAATCAAACAGATCCCCCTGGCCCATTTCAAAGGCAGGCTGTGAATTTATTGTTGCATTATAATATATTCATCAGGTTTTCTCTTTTGTTACGTAGGGCAAATCGCTTTATCAAACGCTGAGCAGGAAAAAAACGTTCACGACGGAAACGAAACAGGAAAAAGACAAGTTGAAACGTGTATTGACCATCTTCGACTTGACCGCTTTGGGCATTGGCGCCACGTTAGGGAGTGGCGTGTATGTGTTGGCCGGGACAGTGGCCAAATCTATCGCTGGACCAGCGGTAGTATTGTCTTTCATCGTAGCGGCGATCGTCTCTTCATTTGCTGGTATCGAGTCTTTATTTTTTAATAAAGTTTCCCTGACATTGATTCATTTAAACTTATCGCTAACGTATAATTACATATTTTTAACATTTGGGAAAAAGATAACAATAATTATAGTGTCATAGATCAGTAATGTTGATAATATTAGTGTTTGACAATGTACTATATTTTAACCATGACATTAGTAATAAAATGATACTACAATATTTTAATGTAGCGGTTTCCAACCATTTTCATTCTACGCCCCCCTTGTAAATTTACTAAAATTCTTTTTTCCCCCCCCCCCCCCCTTAAATTAGAATTTAGACGAATTTTTTTTTCATCCGATTGGGAACCGCTGTATTAATGTATTTACAATTAATTAGACGATTATATTAAAAGGCCGTATTGCCGTGTGGGTATCCACTCTTGATTCAGCGTACAGAGATGGATCACTTACTTTGTACAATTTCGCACTGCGAGCAGAATTTATGTGGTTGTAGAAGTCAATTGTTATTTTTTTATATATTCAGTTATTGTCGGTCGGTATTGAGTCAATAATATGATCTAATTTCCTTTCGTTATCGGTGTTTATATAAACATAATGGTTTAATATTTAAAACGAGTTGAAATGTTATCGCAACACATAAAACTGATGAAACAGTAGGTACATAGTGTGCTTCGGGTTATTCTACAGCAGGTGATTGGAGCAGTACAATTTTATAGTCGTCAAATTTTCCACTTAAAAAGTTCTATATACATAATATATATGGACATATATATTCCTATGTTATATAATAGGTATTATCTATTAGGTTATCGTCTCACTGAAAGAGTCTCGGCGAACCTCGGACAACTATGGTTTGTACTATTAGCGAAACTATGTAACAGCTTATATTTATATAAAATTATAGCTTTATATTATGGCGATAAGACGTTGTTATATTGTCAATTATATTTTATTTTCGTGATTCTATTGCTTACAAAGAATGTTATAAATCGTATTTTAATAATGTATTTAATTCAAAATAATAAAGAATAACTTAATTAACAATATATTTATTTATGTATTTTATTTTATTTTTTAAAACTTTTAAAAATGAAAGGATGGCAAATTGTATAATCTGCCACTGACGCAAATTTTACAATACTACAAAGATACGAGGGGAGTTTTCATTAGATACTGATTTAGAGTAAAATAGATCTATAAGCGTTCTAACGTACTGACTTGACTTTTACTCTGATTAAATTTTGAAATATCTTTGAATTTATTATGAAGTTTATTCCAACTGAAGTTAATTTCTAAAAATACTATATTTTTTTCTAAATTTCAAGTGAGATTTTTTTTGTAAGGATAATAATCAATAAATGGCCACTTTACACAGGCCCCCTATCTGAAATGTAGTAAATAAAACTCTTTTTACGGTATGAACACCACTTCAGAAAAGTATCCAACGATTGACTTTGTATTTTCATTTCAGGAGTATGTTACGCAGAGTTCGCGGGCCGTGTACCCAAAGCTGGATCTGCGTACATATACAGTTATGTGGCCGTCGGGGAATTTATCGCTTTTATTATTGGTTGGAACATGTTTATTGAGCACACGATAGGTGAGTACGGCAACTTTGCTGACTTGATATTTTACCTACGATAAAATTGAAATTACTTCATATCATTAATTGAGCATCTATAATAATTATATGACTTTAATTTCATACTGACTTGCTTCTATTATTATTTATTTAGGTACAGCATCCGCTGCCAAAGCCATGACAAATTACTTAGATTCTCTGCTCGGCGATCCCCAAAAGAGGTACATGAAAGCACATTTTCCAATTCACTATCGGTTTATGGGCGAATATCCGGACGTCGCTGCGTTTTTATTCCTCATGTTCATTGCATGTAATTATATCAACACTTTTATAGTATACTAGCTGATCCCTCTGCACTTCGTTGCCCGATAAAAATGCCAACTCTATATGATTCTCACTTGTGATAATGCGAGCAGTATATTATCAGGTAGGCAATCCACCTGTGATGAATTGCGGACCCCGCTAGTTGCGTACTATATGTCTATATTATAATATGAATGGTAACTTCTATTTTTATTTAATTTTTTTATTTTGATTGTGATCACGCTAATGACTCATGAGCGGCTATAAGTGAAACTCAGCCATCTCAGTAGGCAATGTGTGAAACTTTGATTTGACGCATCCGATTAACCAATGGCAACCAATAAACAAAAAAAAAAAAAAAATACTAAATATATTTATATTTCTCCTATAATCAATAGCAACCATTTATAAACAACAATTTCCTTCTTAAATTTCAAATTCCTTGTTTAAGCACCTCCTATCGCTAGACTCTCCCTTTTTAAATATTAGCCTATCTTCTTCCCAGAGGTATAATTTATCTCTGTACCAAATTAAACCACAATCGGTTGAATGGTTTAGGAATTCATAAAAGAGAGACAGACAGCCATTTTTATATTATATAGATATACATTAATTATTTACAGCTGTAATTGATGATACTTATAATATACATTCAAAATTATTTAAGGGCTCAAAAAATAAGAATTACGTAATTTGCTAATTCAATAAGAACTTAACTTTATGGCTTACATTTAGAATATTTGAGTAATCTAGATGTACATAATCAATATATCTAATACCTACTTAGGTTTAATATTTGTCAATTAATTATTTAATTCTTATAAGATTAGACATCTAAAGTTATTTATTATTAAATAAAGCTGCAGGTAACGCTCAACGGAAATGTATACATATGCACAAATTTTTACAGAGTAATTCACCAAACATGCTCACCCCCTTTTTCTTCATTAAGATCTGATTTTTAAATTTTTAAATATACTTTAAGACTATATTTTCAAATTCTTGAGATTTTTTGTCCTACTTAAGGAGTGTTCTGTGGAGATACGAACTTCTGGTTTTCAAATGAGAGCGCCCCTATTCAACTATAAATTATAGAGTAAATAATTTTTCTGAAATTGTTGACGTATCAAAATCAAAATTCGTACTAGAAGTTTTTTAACGTTATAAGGTCCATAGTAACGAGTTTATGAGATATGGAAGGTATAGTGATTTGAAAATTGTAGTAATTAATTATCGATATTAATAATTCCTAAAAATGGCCCAAGTATAATAAATACTAAATCCAATTTTACATATATTCTATATTTATGTAAAACCAGGTTTAAAGACTATTATCCTTAATACAAACATTTTAATAACTGAGAAACTACTCATTAAAATTTTGAGTGTGGTACATTAAAAATAAAAATTTTCAAAAAAACTATCCACTAAGTCAGGGATTCTTAAATTGTGGTACGCGTACCGCTTGGGGGTACTTGAAATGTTTTAAGGGGTACGAGTCTGTCCAACAAACCAACAAGGAAAAATTTCTTTAAAAGTCTTTAAATTGTTTTATATATATTTTAGTTCAGTAACTACTAACTAAGAAGAGGGTACTCAACAAAATGTACTGATAAAAAAGAGACAGTGTTTATAAAAGTTTGAGAATCCTTGCACTAAGTAATTTGGAGTAAAGGTGGGAGGGTTCTCATTTGAAAAACAGAAGTTTCTAACACTACAAGACAATCCTTAAGTAGCACAAAAAAATTCAAGAATTTGAAAATATGATTTTTGAGTATATTTAAAAATTTAAAAAAATCAAAATTTGTATAAATTTATTATTAAATGAAAAAATGGAGGTAAGCATGCTTGGTGAATCACCCTATATAATATATATGTTATGAATTTATGATGATTCGCTATATTATCAATGAATAATTGTGATTTCACTGGCAAACAAAGTTAATAATATATATGATAAAATATTAAACACTAATGGTATCAATTTTAGTGGTCATGGCTTGGGGTGTACGGAAATCTTCAACTCTCAACACAGTGTTCACTACATTTAACTTACTGACCGTCGGTACAGTCATCGTGAGTGGACTTTTTTTTGGTACGTATATATGTATATAGCCCCAGCGGAGCACTTAAAACTCTGTGGGTTATAACGATGGCACACAATTATGTGTAAAACGTAGTATCCCATACATATTTTATTTGATAAAAATGTATTTGTGTATCAGATAATAATATGATATATGACGACCGACGAGTATTATAATAAAATTAAAGAAGAGTTAAAATTATTAACCGATTTCAGTTAACATTTCCAATTGGAATATACCAAAAAGCGAAATTCCGCCTGGAGTGGACGGCGGCGAGGGTGGATTCGCACCATTCGGCTGGACTGGAATAATCGCGGGAGCGGCTCGATGCTTTTACGGGTTCATCGGATTCGAATCTATTTCTACGACCGGTCAGTATTGTTTTACAATATTTTATTTTTTTGAACTATTATATTTGAAATTATCGTAATTCATTATTATTTAGGCGAAGAAACAAAAAATCCGAAAAAAACAATTCCGCTAGCTATCGTTCTGACGCTGGTGTTTGTCACGTCTGCGTACTCTATCGTGGCGTCAGTATTGACACTGATGTGGCCGTATTACGACCAGGTACCTACGGTTTAAACCAGAAAATGCGATACGTTCGCATATTATTAACGTAAAAATTGTTAAAATAATATGTCGTCGACACTGTTATATAGGATCCGAATGCGCCGTTTCCAGTCATCTACGAAAACCTGGGTTTACCTGTGATCAAGTACATGGTTACCTGTGGTGCGGTATTCGCTCTTTTCACCTCGTAATATCATTGATTCTTTTATACTCGATAATACGTTATGTTTGTAATAATCATTTCCTTGCTTGTGTATAGTTTATTAGGATGTTTGTTTCCGATACCACGAATCCTGTACGCCATGTCTTGCGACGGACTGTTGTTCGAATTCTTGTCGATGGTTAACGAAAAGACCAAGACGCCAGTCATAGCCACTATGATATGTGGAGTTGGTGCCGGTAAATTATATTTTCAACGCGTGCAAAGACTTTCACGAAATGAGTCTATAAATTATTTTAATTTTTAATTTTTTTATACTAGGCATATTGTCGTCCATATTCAATCTCGAACAGCTCGTCGACATGACGTCTATCGGCACCCTCGTTTCGTATTTGATCGTTTGTATCTGCTTGCTGGTGCTCAGGTTTGTATGCAATGATAATTATATAAACGTTTTGCAAATATATGTGTCGCTGAAGATCCGGAAGTGATTTCAGTAAGACCTGTTATAAATAATACAGGAAACAATATATATATATATCATATAATATTCGTCCACATACCATACATTAATATAATATTTCATCACATCATTCACCCCAAAAAATACGTTCGTTTTTAGATATAATTTTATTGTTGTACTTAGGTACTTAAATTTTAATCACGATGATTTTTACTTATCATTTTCAAACATAAAGCTGAAATTATTGAATTTATTTTATGCGTTCTACATCTAAAATCACCATCTAATAATAGGCTTTCATAAACTTCTCTTTGGTTTATTTCAAGTGTGATAACTAATGATCAAATTAGTATTAGTTATTCGTATTTAAATTACACTTAAAAATATACATATTTTATTCACCAATCAATTTCCATAATATAACATTGCTTGTCGTTTAATATGACTTCGTCTTTCTAAGAAATATGACGGTTTTGATAAATAATGGTATCGAATATTTTTACTCAAGCTAAATGTTTCTGTAATACCTACAGGTACAGAGATACTAACGTGGCAGTTCAGGATCTATACAGTAATTCCGATGACTGTAAGACGTACAAATGGTACAGTTTGTTAAACAGAAAAGTCACGGACACGGATACTCAATATGTATCGAGAGTGTTAATACTTATATACAGTATGTTATCAATGAATTTTAATAGTTATTAATCTGTATTCGTTCATATAGTATATTTATCACAGTTTAATGGTTGTTTATTTTTATTATTATTATTATTTAATTTGAGAAAACCATTTTTTTAGTTTAAATATTTATTGTTGATGTTTTTATGTAGGCACTAGACCATTAGAGTTTAAGATTATTTCTAAAAATTACTATTTTATTTTGTTATAGCTTTCAATGCGTGTGTGTTTTGCATTAGTATGGTAAATATTGACTGTTACGAAGGAGCATTTCAGTTCCCTTTAATTATTGCAATAGCGGTTTCGATCACAGTATCGTTACTTTCCATGCTAATGTTATACAGACTTCCACAAGCCATCGAAAACTTAGCGTTTAGGGTAAGAAAATAAAGTATTTATTTCTAACAATAGTTTACTGGTCAGTAATCGTATTTTAGCTGGTTAGTGTTTACATAAACTGCGATTATGTCAATAATCACTTACGTCTACTGCGCGTAATATTATCAACTCTACTGCTCTGTGCCCATAATATTTTATTTCAAGTTTTAATATGTATTTTATCTTATATGATAAACCGTGATTGTTACATGCAGTGGCGTAGCAAGGGTTTTAAAATAGAGGAGGTTATAGCCAATTTATTATGAAAAAAATGCTAATAAATTAACAATAATAATTAATTTTATATTACTACGCAACTGGAGACGTGTATTAAAAGTTCATGTTGTTTTAATGTTTAGGTGCCACTAGTTCCTTTTATACCATGCGTGAGTATAACTCTTAACTTATACCTAATGATGGAGCTGAGCTTCAAGACGTGGATAAGATTCGGCGTGGGACTTGTGTTAGGTTTGTATTAACCGACCGACCATTTTACAAACGAAGCTTTTGTGTTGGCTTATTGATCAAGTGATTTAGCGATGAACATATTGTGCTAATCGAATAAGCTTGTATTACTTTTTACGTACAGTGGGCGTCGTATATCAGTTTGCAAGTCACTAAGTAGAGAATTTTAAATTGTTTTATTATTATTTTTAGATAACTCTATAAGTATACTAGCATTTATACTTTGCGAATTTTGATGTACATTTATAAAAAAGTATTATATAATAAATGAAATTATGAAACGTCTGGAACTATAATCGTAGCGATGATTACTGTATGATGATACTATGATACTTACATGTAGTTTATATATATTAATATTCACTATTATAACTACCAAATTATAATAATTCTAGACAAAAAATCTCGTGTTACCTTGTTTTTTTCGTCAGTTTGTTTTTATCGGGAACGATGGATGTCATAATAGCATTATGTCAAAAATAATGAATAGTGTGCTAGAGCACACACACGATATTACCATCGTCATAATATTTGATCGTAAACCAAACACCACAAACCACTAGAGTTCACATTTTAACTATATTTGTATGTATATTTTTGTATTGAAACTTCTTATTTTTTTTCTTAGGAGTGTTCATATATGCGTTCTATGGCATTCATCACAGTTTAGAGGGCAAGAAACAACGAGCGATAAAAAATGAAGAAAACAAAAACACACCGAGAATCTCTTCCTAATAACTTGTTCGGGTATAATTAAATGTTATATTATATACATATATTTATTTTTTACATTTGTATATTCTAATGGTTAATGGCTATAATTGGGTATCGATTATTGTAACTCAAATCATTACGATTTTAATTATACGACAAGTTTATATATTTAAGTATGTAACTACCATTGCCTAAAAAGGTTACATTTAAAAATGTGTATTTAAATTTTTTTATTGTAATATTTACTATTTATAAATATAAGGTTAAATAGTTGTATTTTTTTTATAATAAAACAAACAGATTAAACACAGCTCATGATGCAATAGTAATATAAGTTATAACACCTAAGTTAAATATGGCAAATGTTTAAAAAAAATAAGTAATACAATAAACTTATTTTGAAAATATGGTATAGCTAGGTGCATATTATTATCTAGTTGAATAAAAATATATATAAATATGATTTTGAGTCCTTTATCAAGTAGTATTGTTTGATAAGTTGTTTTCTAGGACTAAAGCTACTCTACAATTTGACACGGTGGTGTAATAGTGTAATACTCGTATTTACAATACCACTGCGGTACATAATCGTACATAAATGTTGTTAAATTTCCGAAGGTTAATTTTGAGAAATTTACAAAATTTAGTGATCAACTATTATTTATTGAAAATCAAAACACGATTTGTTTGAGAATCATAAAAAAAAAAAAAATTACAAAAATAACAATAATCCAAATTTAAGGTCACTATATAAGCAGAGCAGTGTCACATAAATGTTTTTCTGTGAGAAGTGATGAATATAATATTACAGTTTATTATTAGTTACATAATTTCACTTCTATATGAGATCCGACTGTCAGTGTGTCCAAGTTCAAAAAACGTATGAATAAGTTTATCTCGTATTCCAATAGACTGTACACACGAAGAAAAAATTGTGCAAAAGGTAAAACACGTTCGTATTGGTATCTGTGGTTACTTCGCTTATTAATATTCTGAAATAACAATAATCATTATATTATTACTTCGATTTTACGACAAACGTTCAACATTCGAAGTTTACCTCGTGTTTAATTGAACATTATATTTAATAAGTACGTATAATATTGTATAATATTAGGTATGTGGTTTATAGATGCATAAATAATTTGTATAATATAATACCTCGCCTGCGTGCTGATTAGTAATCGCCATTGAACCGCACAGCCCGCGGGCGATGTTGTTCTAAACTTAGCTATGTTAATAACTCTATTGCATAAGGTAGGTTGGGTAGGCAAGGTATGATAATAGTGTAAAAAAAAAAAACATTAGATAGTGCACCATTACATCTAACGCATTTCGCAAACATAGTATAATGCATTTTTTATCATCACCTTCGACGTTACCTGTATTAACGTTGACTTAATAACACTTTTAATCGTTAAACCAATTTACAATTTTTTCGACGTATTAAATTATTATCTATTTTCATAAAAATTAATGTCCGTCTGTCTGTATGTATGTCCTTTACGCCTTCCTAAACGGTCGGACCGATTTTGATAAAATTTTTTGTGCGTGTTTGAGTGGTTCCCTCCAGGTTGATTTAGATTCACAATATTGGACCCGGTAAATCCAACCTGGGAGGAGGTGCTCAAACAGAGATTTTGAGATTAACGAAAGAAATGTTTGTCTATAAACGGTTGCTATATTGGCTATGTACGAGATATATAAATATATTTAGTAGAAATTGGTATTTTTTTGTTTATCCGTTGCCACTGGCTAATAGGACTGGTACAGTACTCGCCTAGCGAAGTCCTACCAAATAATATACTGCTCGCATTATCACAAGCAAGTCTTCATTTACAGTTGGTATTTTGTTTACAAGTGCCCTCTTAACGGGCAACGAAGACCTAGTCAAATATGAAAATACATCCGTACTTTTTGTAGTCGTCATAATAAAACCGGTCCAATGCAGCAACTATTGCCGTATAAAATAACTGGATAACCGACTACAGGATAATATTGAAGTCGACCGCATAATATGCCAATTATAGGGTAAAATTACACGAATGATAATATATATATATATATACGTATATGTATAATAGGTATCTTATCTATTGAGTTATTTTGTAAACATTGCCCAAGTGACACATAATATATATATATGTCTGTGTCCACAACGGATGTACACGACAGTTGAGATATTAGTACGATATAAATATTATTATTACAACGTTGTGCATTATGTATGAATATGCGTTGCATAATTATTTCATTGTAATAGGTACACAATTTTAAACAAACAGGAACGATTATAATAAAAAAAATAATAAATACATTAGAACGTAAATCTTGGAATATTTTTTAAAGTCCAATTTAAGAAGTAAAATTATATAATATTGTGGCTTAATCAAAATGCAATAATTACGTACCCAACAATGTGCTATTTTTATTTCATGCACAGTTTTGCACAGTTTTAGCTTGGTTTTACAAAATGTTTGACATTTTTTTTTTAACTGTTCAAAAAAATGTAAATCCTATAATGTTTTTATTACCAATACAGGTGCCTATAAAAATGCTTAGGTCGTGATTCCCGGCTTATATTACTAGCTGCTATATCATCGTTATTATTATTCTTGGTTCAAATCTGCAGTACCTAATAATTATGTCACAAAAAAAGTCGGTGAAAATTTCAGTTACGAAGAAACGGGCCCAACGCGCACCGTCTAACGTCTTTGCCATGTTCGACCAATCTCAGATACAAGATTTGCGGACAGCTTTCAACTTGATGGACCAAAACAACGACGGATTCCTCGATAAAAAAGATTTACATGACACGCTGGTCTCTCTCGGTGAGCTCATTATTCCCGCTTCACAGTCGTGACAAAAGCAGACATATCAATATTAAATTATCGTACTGTTTTGTGGACTACAATATGCGATATATATAATAATATTATTATGTTCTCTTCAGGCCAAGACCCCAGTGACTATAGTTTGGAGGACATGGTAAACGAAGCTTCTGTTCCGATTAATTTTCCAATGTTCCTGACGTTATTTAGCGAAAGACTCCGAGGTACGGATCCGGAAGATGTGATTCAAAACGCCTTTAGGTGTTTTGACGTAAACGACGAAGGACGTATTCATGTGGACCTGCTACGAGAGCTATTGGTTACAATGGGCGACAGGCTTACAGACGAAGACGTATGTAATAATTATTTATTATCTACTACGGTCAACTTGAGGTATAGCTAACGAATGTCAAGGTACCTAGCAAAAAGTTCGGTTTATCGAAAGTTCGTGACATCGAAATTCCGTTATATCATAAGCATAAATCACCAAGATTTATCAATATATATATATTAATATATCAACGAGATTTGAAAAAAAATTCAAAATATAGATTTTATTAGGTTATTATAATTACATACATATTATTGGATGTTATTTCAATTTTATTGGAAATTATTTTTATTTTTTATTTTTTTATTGAACTTAAGCCCGGCGACTAAGGCCATTAGCTGTTAGGGGTTATGGACTGTGGTAGGGGTAAGGTTGGTACTGTAGGTTGTTTTTACGATTGTTAGGGTTGTTACGGTAGGTAGCAAACACGTGTATGTGTGGCAAGGTTTTTAACTACTGTGAACCCGGGTGGTCACCCATCCGGGAGCTAGTAGCTGTGGCTGTTACTTACTCCCAGTCGCATTCCGGGACTGATAGCAGCCAACGCGACACGCCAAGCCACTTATTTTTATTAATTATAATCATTTATTAAAATGTATTTTTTGTTTACAAGTTTTTTTTTTAAAAATATATTAGTCTTAGTTTGTATTTAACAGACGTGTATCTTATGAACGATGACATGAATATTATCTTATTGCATTATAATATGTAATAGCCGAAATAAACTAATTGAGTAATATTAAGCTCCAAAATTGTAGAAATTCGTTACATTGCCAGAGCTTTGACCGAAAAACTTTGTTATACAGTGAAACCTGTCTTATCTTGATAAGACGGAATCCTTTTCTGAGCGGAAATTTACTATGGTCCCGGCAGATTTCTATAATTTAACATAGGATTCAACCCTCGATAAAACAGAACCTGTCTAACGTAAAACGGAAAGCTATTAATTATTAGTCCCTCAAATCATATACACCTCATATACACGGAAAAACACATCATAAAATGAACAAAAATATTTTTGATAACCACATTTATTTTGCTACTAAACAATTATTAAGGTCAGCGATTAATACGTATCTACAGATAAGTACATTTTATCTTGAATCTACACATCAGTACTGTATTAGTATTATTTGTATTAGTATTGTCACCATCGTAGTTTACCTGTCGTTTCGTATCGTAGTTTTGCTCTCATAATGCCTTCAAAGTTTGTTTAAGTTTAGGCCTATGATATTTTTTATTATTGGCCGAAAAATGTTACAACCTTAATCGTGCAGAATATTATAACTCTATATTACGGAATTTTCCTTTTTATTCAGTTGTATGGAAACCTGCCTAAAACGGAAATTTTCATTGGTCCCGTGCAATTCCGCACAAGACAGGTTTTGCTGTATTACCTGTGTAGGGGACAAAAATATATTGTCATACGATTTTCAAGCTAACGACAGTTTTTTCGTTTTATCACACTTCATTGTACCGCGAGTTGACTGTATATATTATCACATATAATACTATTTCTGACGTCAACATTCATTTTTCTCGATGAATATTGAACCAATGATTCACACACCAAACGATATGTTATTGCTTCTGATTTTGATCGTTTTGTGCGTTAAAATGCCCTATTTCGTTAAAAATGACATTCAAACGAAACGAAAATTCATCTCTCAACTCACAAACACCATGGGAGCCATCTCCAATGGAAACCGATCCAACAAACACATTTTTCCTAATATTATACAACCGAAAACTACTACATAACGTATAAATAATTATTATTTTAAAACTGTACGACAGTACTGCGCACGGTCCAACTGGTATTATTATTATTGCCACAATAATAATGTATTGCAGTAATAGCTAGAACCAATTATTATATTTCTGGGCACCTCGTGGGGTGATAGTTATATTATTGCTGTAACTTGACGTGGTAAGAAGTACCTGCAAATATTTAAAGATGTCCAACACTGTATAAGTATACTATATATTACCCAGCAGACGTTTTATTATTTTTACAGTTAACGGGTAAAAGGGCGTTTAAATAAGTGGTAGGTTTAAATGAGTTGATCTCAATGAATTATTACAGTTATTAGATTATCATTATATTATATCGTATATTATATTGCCGATTAATTAAATAATATTTTTTTCAGGTTGATGAAATACTTCGTGAAGCTCCTACTTCAGATGGGAAGTTAAATTATATTGAATTCATACGTATTTTTAAACATGGGAAAAAAGAGAATGATGATGTTTAAACTTTATTTTGCTCACTGTATTCATTTATTACAATTTCACACAGAAATATGACATCTCAATTGTTCTGAATTTATATTTTTTATACTAAATCATGATAACGTAAAAACGCAGATGAGAGCCAAAATTCAAGTATTTGACCACGCCCATCATTGGTTCATAAAATAAAATGACTCGGACGGCGTAATGTATAGGCAATATAGGTACAAAGTTGAGCCGTAAAGATAATTTAAAATAATACGATAATATTATACCCAAGACGTGTTTAAATATATTTTATTTTCGTTCAATAACGAATCATTAATTAAAAATGCCAGCCGTCACTTATTCTAACCGTCAATATTGGAGAGGCGCATGACATAAACAATAGGTACAGTATAGGTTCAGTTCGGTCACTCATGGAAACCATTTCAAACAATATAAGATAAAATTACTCACAGTTCATTTTTTTTTTAAGTTTGAATTTGCTCTAAAAATAAAATATAAATATCGATGCGCTTGCACTATGCTTTTATTGCAGTAAGTTGTGTATTACCTAGCGATTCATTGTAGGTATACGCATTAATTTTAAACGTCCCATTGTGAATTATATTTTTCTTTGATATAAATACGTCAATAGAAAGTAGAATCTCAACCCAAACAAATGTGTATTATAAAAAAAAAGGGCCACCAAAACATATTATTCTCGACTACTCTGTGTTAAAAACAATTTAGAATTTATCACGACTCAAGCGCGAATGTCTACACACTATTGAATGACAGAAATTATGGGTGCATGCATCAGAGTTTATTACTCGACGGCTGTCGAGGTCAACTACAACTAAAAAAAAAAGGTTCGCAGATTTTCCGTTTAAAATTATCAGTTATTATCGCATGATTAATGGTAGATAGGTACATATTATATTGAAATATAATAATATTACCGTCGACCATACGTCATTAGAATATCACAATTTATTATTGTTGTATTATAGGTGTATTAACCGGGTCAAACAATATTATATTAATATATTTTTTATTTTCGCGTGTACGTCGAAACTAGCCGTCGAAAATATTCTTCTTAATGGATTTGCAAACTGCGCCTCGGCACATTGTGAGTACTATTTGTGTACATAATTTATTCTCGTATTACCGCCTAGGGCGTCTATCAACCTCGCCAATATAATGCGATGCCTTACAAGCCGAGACTGACAACTATTATACTTATTCACATCAAACGAAAAGCAAATGACGTTTAAATGTGCCTAGTCATTCGCAGAGTACCTATATGAGTAGGCATGTTTAATAAAGGAACAATAATCATAACCTAAATATTATTGTATGATGATTTTTTTTTATTATTTATTTACTGACCACCACCGCTGCCTCGGCAACATCGGTCATTGGCACTGATTTATCGTCGAAGTGCTTGCAAATTTATTATATACAGGGTGATTCACCAAGCATGCTCACACCCATTTTTTAATTAAATGATGAATTTATTCAAATCTTGATTTTTGGAAATTTTAAATATACTCATAGACCATATTTTCAAATTCTTGAATTGTTTTGTACTACTTAAAGAGTGTTCCTTTGGTGATACAAACTTCTGTTTTTCAAATGGGAACCCACCACTTTTCCTGTTAATTAATATTAGTGGATAATATTTTTGAAAATTTTGATGTAGGTACCTCATTCAAAATTCGAATACCTAAGTAGTTTCTCAGTTATCAACATTATTGTATTAAAGATAATAGTCCTTAAAACTGGTTTTACATAAATATAAAATAAGCATAAAATTGAATGTATAGTACCTAATTATTATTCTTGCGCCATTTTTACAAATTATTAATAACGATAGATTATTATAAATGCCTACAATTTTCAAATCACCATATCCCCCTTATCTTATAAACTCATTACAACTCATCACTCAAAAACTACTTGTGCAAATCGTAATTTTGATACGACAAAAATTTCAAAAATATTGTTTACTGTATAATTTATAGTTGGATAGGGGTGTTCTCATTTGAAAAACGAAAGTATCTCCACAGGATACTCCTTAGTTAGGCAGTATACAAAATCTCAAAAATTTGAAAATATGGTTTTAAAGTATATTTAAAAATTAAAAGAATTAGATTTTGAATATCTGCATTATTGAAAAAAGAGGATGAGCATGCTTGGTGAATCATCCTGTATAATATTATTATGCTTTATCGGGAGAACGTAACACGCCCGTAATATTGTTGATGTTCGCGTCTTACGAACGTACCTATATCATGTGCATATATAATAGCAAATCAACATCCAGCAGAAGCCATTTACAGTTTTGTTGGTTTCAATATTATTAGAGTGAATTGACCCGGCATCAGATTCAAAGGATATTATAAAGGATAATAAAACATTATTGTCCTTGCAATTCCGTCGTGGTTTCGGTATTTTAATTTTAAAGCGACTTACGACTGTATAAAATATTACCAGTAAAAAAATATGTTTTCAACTTGTTGAACACTAAAATATCGACACCCTTACCGACGAAAGAGTAATTGTTGTCACTTATATTGTATAATCGGTAGATCTACACTATATCGAAATTCAAAACTATGAAATATTGTGTGTACTGACCATTGCTATGACTTCATAAGATGAAGACAAAAAATTTGAGAGTTGAAGACTCGTTTTGACATTTTTCAAATATTAATGTTTAGTTTTTGAATTCATCACACTACAGCCATGTCCGATTTACTTAGAAATAATTTTTTTTTATTTAAGGTTTACAATTATTTACTTTGCATTTGTTGAACATTAAGAAAAACCGGATAAAATATTTAAAATGTAAAATTATCATTTACCAAACATAATATTAAAATATGGTAAGAAAAAAAGAAATAGACAAAAATATGTCATCGAAGAATAATAATTACAATAATTTATATTTCAGTTTATACGTATTATTTCATAGATTACCGTGTTGTTACCAACCTATATATTTACTTTATTATATTTTTATCACTTAAGTCATTTGTCACCTATCATAATATTTTGTAGGTTTTCATTTCATCAAAATATTAAATCACCTATTGTCTAGTATTTTTCTTGGAAACGTAATTTAGTCAAACAAAAAAAGACAATAGCTTGGATTAATACCAAATATTAGTTTTATTTTTTTAAATTATTATTATTGTAATAAAATATTAATAGGTACAATTTTTTCCTGGTACCGTATCAAACTGCAACTCTAACACACCAAAATTAAATGATTACAAGAAAACGTATTTATTTCTATAAATTAATAAGTATATTATTATTTAGTATAATTATGTACACCTATACAAAACTACATACTATTTTTGAATGGTTTCAGAGAGATTAATTTTTTAACAAAAATAACTTCCGATTTCTTGGGTGAAATCATAAGATTTCAACTACAGGTGTCAACATCCGTTAAGGCGGAAGACGAAAAAGTCAATGCCAAACTCCGGTTAACTGTAGCCAAAAAAAGAGTCCTCACGAACCAATTCCGAAGGTAATCTTTTTCTAACAGTACCAATTATTACTTATTATTATTGGTTAATGAATTGAAAATTAAGTTTAAATTTTTTGTTTTATCATTCCTCAAAATTGATTATGTTGTATTAATTAATATTATTATGATATTTCGAACGAAGAATTTATGTCTATATTATATTACACGGACTTTAGAAGGTCAGCCAACGAACAATGAATATTTTCGAGCAAAGCATTACATGGAAAACAACGGAAACTGTTCACAACAAAATAATACAAATATTTAAATTAATTTACTAGGTCGTATTAATTATCTTCGATGATGTGGTTGTAAAACTTAATAATTTAAACGTGCTGGATTCACATTTTATGTGAAAACCTTGAATCTCATAATTTTTGTAAATTGTTGATTAAATAATGTATAATATTGTGTTATAATTAATTTGAGATTTTAAATTAAAAAAGATTGGAATGTTGGAATTCATTGAGATTGGAATTGATTTTTCTGCAGACTTTATGTTTCCTTTTCATTAGCGATTAAAATATTATCATAATGTACAATGTATGCATATATTGTATTTAACAGTAAAACCGTTTTTACATTTGAAATGCGTCGAATTCGTCGGGAATAAAAGTCACAAAAAAAACACGATTTAGATCATTTATTTTATTACATATTATTATATATTTGGAAAACATTGTAGGTAAATATGAAGGCAGATTTTAACACAGTTTAACCTTCAAAGATGCACTGAAATCATATAATGTTTTTGGTCTGGAGACCATACAATTATCGCGATGTAAGTATGCAATAATTATGAGTGTTGCATTAGCAGTACTAATATAATATGAGTACGTATGAAATCGTAAATACTTTATTCGATGCTCATTGTTGTACTCAGAATAATTATTACTCATTACACATATTAATTATTAATTCTAAAAATATTATTATGGATAGAGTCGTAGATATTGGATTAATTTTTGTTTTCGTACATGTCTTATCACACACCACAAAAATGTGATTACTTTTACACGCAATCCAATAGCACGTGTGAACAACCACTAGATTAAACTTATGATTCTCAAAAATCGAACAATACCAATTTATAAACTACAGTAAACATGATAATTTATTATTCACTAACTATATGATAATATACTTGCTTGGAAATGATAAAAAAAGAGATTAACAATTTAAGACCTTAAACAATTTCACAAAACGCCGAAATTAAAATACATTTTATGTTATGTAAGAATTATTATGCAGATTTTTAAGATTATTAGCAAGAAAGGTCAACGAATTTTCCGGACTACACATAAACTTGTCCCACTGTTTTAATTCCCATCATGATTTATCGATTGATTTAAAAAACATTTATTGATAGTTATTTAATGGTGCATTGATCGATTGAAAGCTAAATATTTTACAAGATAAGTATTATAGTACCTACTTCATTCGGGAAACCTTCAATTAATCGGCCCAACAACTTATTTCAAAACTGAACAGTTAATTGTACCTTCGTAGTATAATAACAGCGGTGCGTGTG